GAAAGTTTTAATTATTCTTAAAAACGTAACCGGAATATTGCGTAATATCACTATTGTATTTATTTATGGGACGAATGTACTATAATCGTTATTATTTACAATCAGTACACGTTCCTAAGTAAACGTGATTTAGTTCGGTTTGCGTAATTCGATCAAATACACGATCGGATCGTGGAATGTTTGGAATGAAAAATTAAAATTCATTACGTTCCTAGTTTTTTTTAAGCTATTGTATACCTTTTATCGCGGGCTTTGAGCGCGGCGACCGAATCAAGAAATTCCGTAACGAAAATAAAACCTAACACTCCCACTCCGCCTACCCTGTAGCTCGCGTTCAACACATTCACACGTTGCGCTTGTGTAGTGTTTGTGAATAAGCGCGCGGTGTGATATCGCACTGCATGCGCATCATGAAAAGTATGCCCATCTCTCTCTCGCGCGGTCTAGCTTATGAGTGTGAAGGGGAAAGTTAATGTTTTGCTTTTGTTAATGTTTATAAACTTAGCGTGGCCTTATATTATTATTGTCTTAATATTAAATTATTATTGTCTAATTATAATTGCATAAGTTGATAAAAAATGCTATGCAATAGCTTTACCGCGGCAGTCCCCGAGGAGTGCCACACGTGGTTTTTTTTTACCTGCCTGCTCCTAATAACTTCTAGGGACTATACTAGCTTCACTGGATGCTAATGCAACTCTAGCAAGGGCAGTGCTTCACTGAACCGCCATCGGATCGAAATAGCGACCCATTGAGAAGAGCCAGCGATAAATTCTTAGTATTAGCCATCTTTACTATTAACTAGGCAGCAACCTAGCTGTGACCCTGGCAACGTAAATATAGTATCCATCGTCCTTAATACAGTCATAATTAGACCAGTGCGTACTGAGATCCAGTTCAAAATTAAGCTTTTTAGGTCCCGAATGCTTTGAACATGACAAAAAAGATTTTAAATTTAAAGCTTTGACGTCAAAAGCGAAACTCCGCGAGTGAAATAACTGAATTTATTAGCTCGAGCTTTGACTGAGTTCTGCATCGAAGTCCTTTCTATTCGAGCTTTCCGTTTCGAAGTTGGGTCAAGTATTACCTGTATTACTTAATTTCGGAATGGAATTTATTAATTAACTTATAAATAACTTAATATTGCAATTAATGTGTCCGCTTGTAACTGAAATGCATATCGGCACTTTGATTATTAATAAAAAAAAAATGTGAGCCGTCACGGCACGCCTTGCAGATGTGAAACATCGACATTATTTTGTAAAAGTAATATGCAGAAAAGAACAGATTGTGATGGGAATTAAATATGTCATAATGATAAAATAAAATGTTACGAAAAAATAATTTGTTTTCAAGTAAAACACAGGTTATGTGTACTGTAGTAAACAACATTGTATACACTACGGAGTATACACTATAGGTATGCGAGCTCAGTGTAGCGAAAGAGATGGCTTAACGTCGGATCGAGTGGGAGAGAATCGCACAGTCGATTGCGCATGGCGACGCGTCGCCACACCGTACACACTACTGCATATAGACTGTACATAATATATACCATCATACAGCGTGGCGACGCGTCGCCACAGCATGCGTCGCCACGCCAGAAATCGGTTTCACGTGCGGCTATAGATGTTTCACATCAAAAACGCAAATGACAATTATTTGTGACGTATTCAAGAAATTAAATAAATAAATTACAGTAATTTCATTTAGAACCACGGCGTCATATTTCGTTAGTATTTTAGTATATTTCGTATAGTTTATCTACGAATTTCATTCCTAATCAAACTGGCAAAATTATAATTTTCGTAATTACTGGTAGGACCTCTTGTGATTCCGCACGGGTAGGCACCACCACCTTGCCTATTTCCGCCGTGAAGCTGTAAAATGCATTTTGGTTTGAAGCAGCCGTTGTAATTATACTGAGACCTTAGAACTTATATCTCAAGGTAGGTAGCGCATTTACGTTGTAGACGTCTATGGGCTCCGGTAACCACTTAACACCAGGTGGGCTGTGAGCTCGTCGACCTATCTAAGCAATAAAAAAAATCTCTCTCAAACGACGTACCAAATACCCTCATTGCACACTAATTTCGCTTAGGCCTCCTCGTGTGCTTTGATGGATGCACAAGCGCTGCAGAGATACAGACTTGATGAGCCCTCGGTTATTGACATCGTCATTGTCAGGCACAACTGAAGTACCGGAGCGAAATGTAAACCGCATATTCACGGAATGCCATTAGTACTGTCGTCAGTGTAACCGGTTTGGTGTTTGACCGTATTTCCGAAATATAACAAAAAAAATATTTCAATATTAGGGTGTTGTCGCAGTCTAAGATTTAATTGACACACACAGACAACAGCCCACTGAGTTTCTCGCCGGATCTACTCAGTGGGACGCGTTTCCGATCCGGTGGTAGATTCTGCGAAGCACAGCTCTTGCTAGGGTTCATATTAGCAACGTCATCAGGTTTGAACCCCGTGAGCTCACCTACAAGCTTGACGAATCCAGAGTAACCCCTCGAGGTTACTAAAAGAGATAGGAAAAAAAAATTTGAGAGATTTTTTTTATAGATAATAAAATATCGATTCCCGGTCGTAATCAAGAACTTAGTAAGATATTTATTTAGCTTTCGGATTTTCGGTCTGTTTGATCTCATCTCGTAAGCGTTTCTAAGCATTCAAAACATATAATAAGAAAACCTTAGCTAAGGATAAGGTCCGTAAAAAGACTTGAAAAATAAATAAAAATCCCTTTCCAGAAAAATAAAAACAAAATTAGTTTAATATCATTTATATCATAGGCACAATAGCGTTATATATTATCGTTATAGCTGACACATAGCTAAGCTAGTTAACATAATATTATCAGATAGCATATATCTTGCATTACAACAACACGTTTACTTAAAGCAGTTTGTGCAAGTTCAATATTGACTTTCGCAAAATTTAATAAGCTCCTTGTAAGCTTTTTGAGGATCGCTGGTTCAGAGAAGGCAGCACCAATTAACCCATTCCTGGCTATATTCATTCATGTTATGATGTCCATGGACTATGACAGCCGCTTAGCAACTCATTTTTTATTACTTAGACAGATGGACGAACACACAGTCCACCTTGTGTTAAGTAGTTACTGGAGCCCATAGACATCTAAAACGTAAATGCGCCACCCACCTTGAGATATAAGTTCTAAGGTCTCAAGTATAGTTACAACGGCTGCCCCACCCTTCAAGCCGAAACGCATTACTGCTTCACGGCAGAAATAGGCAGGGCGGTGGTATCTACCCGTGCGAACTCACAAGAGGTCCTACCACCATTAATCACGCAAATTATAATTATTATATCGTGTACATAATTACGTTTTGTTAATTATAATGAACGTATGCTTCTTTAATTGCCCATAGATATGAATGAGATAAATGCTCACTTTGATACATGAGTTCTAAGTCTCAGATTTTACAGTACAACGACTGTTCCATATTTCAAATCGAAACGCATTACTGATTCACGACAGGGATAGATAGAGCACGAGCTTTGAAGTCGTCGTGGCCTAATGGATAAGACGTCCGGTACATTCGTGTTGAGCGATGCACCGGTGTTCGAATCCCGCAGGCGGATACCAATTTTTCTAATGAAATACGTACTCAACAAATGTTCACGATTGATTTCCACGGTGAAGGAATAACATCGTGTAATAAAAATGAAACCCGCAAAATTATAATTTGCGTAATTACCGGTGGTAGGACCTCTTGTGAGTCCGCGCGGGTGGGTACCACCACACTGCCTATTTCTGCCGTGAAGCAGTAATGCGTTTCGGTTTGAAGGGTGGGACAGCCGTTGTAACTATACGTGAGACCTTAGAACTTATATCTCAAGGTGGGTGGCGCATTTACGTTGTGGATGTCTATGGGCTCCAGTAACCACTTAACACCAGGGCTGTGAGCTCGTCCACACACGACACCAAAAAAAATAATACATAAGACTACCACCAGTAAACCTTCCAAAACCAATCACCTTTCTTACTACTGTATATCGATTAGCTCAGAGCTCCTCTAGAGGGTTTGGACTCATAAGCTCGAAGCCTCACCGTCCCATCCTTCAAACGAGAACGCTCATGCTCACCACTTACCACCACCAGCTAGCATTGGTTCAATTTCAAACGAAAATCCATTCTATAAAACTATAAAGCTTTAGCGGAATTTTTAGAGAGCTAATGTCTAATTCTAGATCGTTCTAGATTTGAAGACATAAGACACGTGTCGAGTTTATTAATAGAGAATCTATTAATAAATTCTACTATAAGCACTGTCACTGCGGTACCACTTATCAACAATTTACATAATGATTTGAGGAAAAAACCGAACATAATAAAGATTTAAATTCCAAATACTTCAACTTACAGACAACTGGTTTGTCTTTCTATTCCAAGAAGCTTGAGATGCATATATANTGAAGACATAAGACACGTGTCGAGTTTATTAATAGAGAATCTATTAATAAATTCTACTATAAGCACTGTCACTGCGGTACCACTTATCAACAATTTACATAATGATTTGAGGAAAAAACCGAACATAATAAAGATTTAAATTCCAAATACTTCAACTTACAGACAACTGGTTTGTCTTTCTATTCCAAGAAGCTTGAGATGCATATATATGTGATATATATAAAAAAAATGCATTTAAATTACATTATTAAACAATTAATTCATTTATATCAATTTAGCAATAAAAATTGTGAGTGACAACACGTAGAGCGGTTTAATTAAAAAATTATCTCGATAGGTTATCGATTCTTGAAATATATAACATTACATAAAACTATAAGCTACTTTGTGCGTTTGATAACCTCATCAATAGGTCAATTAACACTAAAAATTGTCCGTCCGAACGATCAGTCTGCATTCACACTTCGTACAAGCAATACGTCTTTGTAAATCTTAAAAATAAAAAATAACAAAAAATAAAAACGAAAATTTCAAAAAAAAAAAATTCCAGATTTGAATGATATAAACATGGCCGCCGTTAACGGAAAAGATTTGAACTCGGAAGCGGCAGTGCCGCCATCTTCGCTGATACGTCGCGTCAGTTCGCGTTCCATACGTAATTCGATTTCCGAGGAGAAAGAGAACGGTGACGCTCCTCAGAAGGGCTCGTTCGTTGGTAAATACAAAAAAGCTCCAGAAGCCCTGAAGAGCTTTAACTTGGCCGATGCGGAAAGTGAACTTGAAGTGCCCGGAACGCCAATGACGCCGAGGACTTCGACCACGCCTGGTTTGTATTCAAAAGAATTGAGGCCGTCAGCGCTAAAGTGACCTAACCCACAATTCATATTCGTGCTTATGTATTGCAATTTATTTAAAACATAATATGATGCAAAATCGACCTATCCCTAGTTTCAGCCATAGATAAATAAATGCCTTTGTAAGAATCATTTTAGCGCGTATTTTTTTGCCTAGGATGTTTTGTGAAGGTAAATTCAAACCTCATTATCTCCATACTAACTATGAAGGCTTAGGCCACTTTTGCGCGGACGGCCTCTATGAATCTTCTAGTTTTATCTACAGCTTAACGTGTGCCTTAGACATATTAACAAAACTAATAAAACCTATTTTACTCCTACTTGCTAATCCGTTTGAACAAGACGACGAGCTGGTCTAAATTCTTAACGAAACAGCCATTACGAAGGACCCTCAGAAGATCACGTCCTACGAAAAAAAGTTGTTGTAAAATCTCTTTTACCAATTCGATCTTTCAATTTCTGACATAACCAAGAATCAAACCTCTGATATCGGTAACGCGGTCCTGTGTGCGCTTAGTGCGAGTTTTTTGACGTAGTTAGCTCATATTTACTGGTGGTAGGACCTCTTGTGAGTCCGCACGGGTAGGTACCACCGCCCCGCCTATTTCTGCCGTGAAGCAGTAATGCGTTTCGGTTTGAAGGGTGGGGCAGCCGTTGTGACTATACTGAGACCTTAGAACTATATCTCAAGGTGTGTGGCGCATTTACGTTGTAGATGTCTATGGGCTCCAGTAACCACTTAACACCAGGTGGGCTGTGAGCTCGTCCATACATCTAAGCAATAAAAAAAGAAAAAAAATATTTGTATGGAATTCGATCGTGTGCATACGTTTGCCGCTAGGGGCGCTGTTCCAACTGCATACAAAACAGGGTTAACTTTTACGTTATCGAGACCGTTAAGTAACTCGCACTAAGCACACTGTTGCTTACACGCTACGACAATGGTCTTTAGAATTCGAGTTGTATTAAGATGAACCCAACTCACATTATGGTGTTAACGGTCCGCATTGTCCTCTAAACACCCGCTAGACTTTAACCAGACATTAAACAACTTATAAAAGTTTTCAAACTGTTCTTAACACGAAAAAGAAAACAAACAAAAAAAACAGAAAGTATTCTCCCACATTAACGAGTGATTGTTAATTTTATTTTAAAACAAGCGTCGAATGTTTTTTTATCAATCAGATACTTTGATTTCGTTTTTATTAGACCTTACAGCTGACCTCATATTTTTTTATATTTTATTGCATATAATTCATTAACGTTGTAGATGTCTATGGGCTCCAGTATCTACTTAACACCAGGTGTGCTGTGACCTCGCCCACCCATTTATGCAATAAAAAAAAATTAAAAATAAAAATTAGTGACTGGTTCATGGACATCAGCAAGGGCATACCAAAACCACCTCACTCCGTGACTCCAAAACAATAATTTTCACCTGTGTTACATTTGACAAAGTAAAGATCACTCACGGAACCCATGACATAGTAACATGAGTCGCTAAGAAGTAATCCATTTTTAAACTGTATCTTATAACTTAAATAAATTAAGCCTGCACTCACCCACCGAGATAAGGGTAGGTTTTCAGGGGGAGGGGGCACAAATTGCCTCTCGCAAAGCTCAGCCGGGTCCTTTGATGTCAACTTAGCCTGACAAAGCACGGCTTTGTGAACTGATAAAATAGTTTTCGTACTGAAATTATAATAAAATTCAATACTAGTTTGAAGTCGTCGTGGCCTATAAGATAAGACGCCCGGTGTACTCCGATGCGTCTATGCCGGTGTTCAAATCTCACAAACAGTATTTTTTTACACATCTATGCAGGATACAAATTAGATTTTTTTATTTTTTATTGCCCTTATAAGCAGACGCGCTACGCCTCATCTGATCGTGAATGGTAACCGTTTATCATGGTCATCGACAATGCCAAGGGCATAGCGAAGCCACTGCATACCTTTGACTGGTCTCCATAAGCCTCTTTAGAAGAAGGAAAATTGGATAAGGAAAATAGTAGGAATGGATAAGTGGAATATCATCCAGCAATTTAAAGTCAATCTTTATGGACTTCAAAATCATTTACATGCCGAGAAGGGTTTTACGTATGGATTTACCTTTTCAACTTACCTTTTGGTATAAACAGGCAATAAGGCCGTTGTAACTATACTAAGACCTTAGAACTTATATCTCAAGGTGTGTGGCGGCATTTACGTTGTAGATGTCTATGGGCTCCACGTAACCACTTAACACCATGTGGGCTGTGAGATCGTACACCCAACCAAGCAATAAAAAAAATTAAAAAAAATCCATAGACTGTGGCTATTCCTATAGTATCAGTATAGTATCAACTAACCGCGCACGTTTGAGGCGCTTAAAAAAATCATGTCTCAAAACCTACCTTGAATGACACCAAAGATATTCCAATAAAACGGATATGTTCTTAAATAATATGTACACAGACAGACTTTAATAGCCAAAACAAAACATTGTAAATCGCAATCTCACAAGGACATTGCGTCATTCACAGATGTTCGCGTGCGCTTGTGAACATGCTCACAGGCCACAGAAACTTTAAAACTGGAGCAAGGTTCTAATTGCGTCGTATTAACGCCTCAAGTTCATTGTCAATATGTAATTTGTGTTTGAATATACTAAGCTGATCGCGTCCCGCGGTTTCACGCGCCTTTGTTTTTGTAATTCAGAAATAACCTAATAACCTCGTTTTCCTCGGATGGAGTAGAATAAATAAAGATTAGATAGGATAAAGAGTTGCTAGTATCACTATCTCATTAAACTACCGGGCGATTTGCAGAGCCATTGGTACTTAAATTTACCACAGAACGAAATATCCTATTCATCATGAAAAATGTCTTATGCTGTCGTATTTGGTTTTATTCGTGTCTTGTCTTTTAGTAGTCTTAAACGGGATGAGACAGCTTGAAATCATGAAGACGTAATCAATAATCACGACGGAAGAATCTTTCTAGATTAAACAATAAGAATTTTGCGATCAGCCCCTTTGCTCCTACATCAAGAAAACTTTGAGTGTTCATATTGCGATTTACAACTGAGATAACCGGTTACTAAACAATACAGCTATTACCCACTTAGGGCCTGCTATTGCGCAAATAAATATAAAACATCATTTTATAATAATTATCATGACGTGTAGAAATAATCTCTAATGACATCATATCGACGTTATTACAACTAGTGGTGGTCGAAATTCGACTATAATTAATCTTATAAGTTTGAACATTAGTAAGAGTCTATTATCAATGACTATCATAGACCTTTAAAGTAACAGATTTCGCCAAGACTACACTGTAGACAAAGAATATTGAAGACAAACAATATTAATCTATTCTCAATTTGTCCACAGACTTTAACAATAAACAAAAGGGTATATATTCGTGTGTGTATCAAATACTATATTACAAATATTTAATGTATTTAAATGAATTAAAAATATATATTAGCTTTCTGCATTTCTTCTCTATATAAACTAGAAAAGTCGAAAATTTAATACTCCTCCATCCGCGCAATTTTCCTAAAAAGGGGTACAAAGTTATTGCTGCACGTATTAATATTTAAAAAATTTGATTACCTCTCCCAATATCTATCAAAACAATATGATTCTGCTACTCTGATGAATTGTTCAATCGTGACGTCATATCACGACTCCAAATAGGTCGAGTTTTGCGGCTACGAAACCTATTACATTAAATCGTATAACTTGAAAATGAATTACGATAATTACTTAGACGATAAAGCAGTCATTAACACATAATGGACGTATTCATTATGAATCGGAGCTTGGAGATTCAAGACGGACCGTAGTACAATTTCAAGTTTTTTTTTAAATTCATACGTCGTGATGTGGTTTTTTTCCTTACCTTTTTTTTATTCTTTAGATGGCTGGACGAGCTCACAGCCCTCCTGGTGTTAAGTGTTTACAGGAGCCTATAGACATCTACAACGTAAATGCGCCACCCACCTTGAAATATAAGTTCTAAGGTCTCAGTGTAGTTGTAACGGCTGCCCCACCCTTCAAACCGAAACGCATTACTGCTTCACGGCAGAAATAGGCAGGGTGGTTGTACCTACCCGTGCGGACTCACAAGAGGTCCTACCACCAGTAAAAACCTATTCACTGGTAGCTTAAGGGATTATTCTAGCTACGCGCGGACGGGTAGATAAGTTCACGGACTCAATCTGAGAGAATTTGCTAACACTAGCCCTAACAAGAGCAGTGCTTCGCAGAATCTACCGCCGGATCAGAATCGCGACCCATTGAGAAGATCCGGCGAGAAACTTAATGGCCTAATAAAGTGTGTTCACGGCCCATAGCAGTCTATTATCATACATCGACGATGTTAATAACACTGCCGACCAACAACCCTGTTAATTAGTCTTTACTGTATCAATATGATAAATACTTTTTCAGGTCTCAATCAACCTCCAGAACTATAATTAAGGAATAATAGAACTACCCTAGTCACTGTTTTCAGACTTCGTTCCAGGCAAATCCCACTCAATAAATTTGCTCATTTAATGGGGAAGACTCCTGATCCCAAGTGTTCAGTTTGTGATGTTGTGGAAGATGCTTTTCACATTATGACGGAGTGTGCGCGGAATGATGATTTGAGACAACAATTCTTTGCAAAATATACAGATTTTCGACAAGTTGGAGGTGTACATTGCGGATTAGCCTTTCCGGAATCCGAAATGGTTAAGTCACTTTATAAAATAGTGTTCTTGAGCCTTCAAAGACGATAACAGTTTCCTTAATTTTTTTTATATAATCTTTTGTTACTATCTTTTGTGGCACAACTGAGTGACATATTCACTATATAGGAATAATCTCCTTGTCCGCAGGTCACGAGAACTGCACCTTCCACCATGACCTGGAACTGGACCACAGACCGCCCACCAGGGAGGCGTTGTTACCGGACATGGCTAACTCATACAGGCTTCTACTCACCGGTAGGTTTTACATTTTAATTATAACGATTTTTTTTTATTGTTTAAATGGGTGGACGAACTCACAGCCCACCTAGTGTTAAGTGGTTACTGGAGCCCATAGACATCTACAACGTAAATGCGCCACCCACCTTGAGATATAAGTTCTAAGATCTCAGTATAGTTACAACGGCTGCCCCACCCCTCAGACCGAAACGCATTACTGCTTCACGGCAGAAATAGGCAGGGCGGTGGTACGTACCCGCGCGGACTGAAAGAGGTCCTACCACTGGTAAAATATTGGATGGATATTAAATGGATATTAAATTTTAAATAATGTGTATACGCCGTCTGATTCAGAACTGTATGCAATATATCATGTCACAGATGCCGCCTAAACCTCCACCTGAACACACAGAAGGAGTCAATGAAAACGTAATTAAAGTTAACAAGTGCCCAAACTATGACCCGGTCGCTAGAACGGTCCACCAAATTCAAGAATAAGTAGCTCACTTACATACACAGCTGCGGCTTTTTTTTATTGCCCTTGTAATGGTGAGTGGTTACCGTCGTCCATGGACTTCAACAATGCCAGGGCTAGAGCTAATCCGCTGCTTACCGCTAAGTACTCTCCACAAACCTCGTTTGAAGAAGGACATGTCATAGCGCTCGGGAAACACCGTGGAGGAGAGCTCATTCCAAAGCCGGATTGTGATTGCGTCGTATGATCCTGTGCTATGGCCGCTTCCATTCAAGGCTTGTTCATATCGGAGTCACCAGTTTAGGAGTGACGGTAAGGGAAGATCTTCCACCGTGCGGGTGACATTGTTCAGTTGACTGACGTTTCTAATGTTATTATTCAGAGCATCTATCAAATCTATATATAGTATTATAGCTACCGCTACAAACCATAGCAAACCAAGCAAACAATTAACCTCATCTTTTTTAGTCATCCTGCTAATACTGGTCGGGATATTGGCATTATCGGTGTGCCAAATTTCCAAATCAATCAGACTTCTTGAAGTCGATAAAAATTACAATCAAATATATTACGTTACATACGAACAAACAAACATACCAAGCTGATAAAAGCTTGTAAAAAATCGTGCGTGTCGATACGACAATTCATGTTATTTTGTTAGCTGGTTCACTAGAATTACCAGTTGCTCTTGAAAGCCGATATGAAAGTCGCTTGCGACATTACATTGAGCACCCGTTAGCCTTGCTCCAAGTGTTAGTCGATAATGATTTACATTAGCATTCGTGACCCAGAGGTCATTTGTCTGCACTGACAACTTTAGATCAGACTTGATGACTTTAAGACGAACAAAATTGTCTTTAGCAGAATGATGGACAAAATTTACTTATTTTGATCGTATAGGATTGTGTGCTCTAACTGCAATGCATAACCAACAATAAATTTAGTCAGAATAGGCCGATTAGAATCACAGTAGAAATCAGAATGTTCTTAACTTGAAAAATCCAACTTTACACCAGAGCCACAAACTTCATATTATTCAATCATTCCTCATTTCAAAAATTCAAATCTCATATTATATTTGTATAATATGTAATCTGCAGTCTATCTATTTACATTATTATAAATACATACCAATTTTCAACTTTCTATCTCTATAAATAAAATTAGTTTTGAATTTTTGTTATGTTAGTTAAATGAGTCTAGTGGAAAATTGGTCTAGTGGTCCTAAACACTAACTAAACACTAAATGAGTCTAGTGGAAAATCTAGTGGAAAATTGGGTTTTTCAAGTTACGACAATTCTGCTTTCTTCAATCGATATATCGATATGGTTAGCCTAGTACCAACTCATACGTTTTTGTAATGTGACCCGTAAACTCAAAGCGGTTAAAGCTTAATTCGGAACAGCATAGACAGCGGATATTCATTGCAACTTACAAGCGAACGATATTTTTTGCCAGAATTGCCTCCATCAAGGGAATCAGTGTTGTAATTTCGAAACTTTGTAGCATGATTAGTCACGACCTCTATGACAAATAATACGAATACTGGCCATAGTATAATACATGGCAACAAAACGTACAGTCCAACGCATCGGAGATATGTACCCTATTACCATTCTAATATAACTGACACAAAAAAAAAAGGACACTCTCTTAACTTAGCACTTATGTACCGTCACTTATATCTGCAAAGGCTTCTCTAATCCATGTGGCACCCATATACAATCATTACCCTAGTTTCCACCAGCAAGGGCACTGTCAAAATGTAATAGATACAAATTTAGGGGGTTAATGGAAAGTACCAAGGTCAGAGTCCCCCAATACTGCTTCGTCCCCACCCTGCACCATAGGTAAAGCCCTCTCTGTCTACCAGTATGGTATCCGTGACCACGTAAACTGTGTTCCAAATGAGGAATATTTTATAATGACAATAAAAAACGCAAGATTAAACCCTGCAAGGACTTTTGTGTCTACGAATTGCCAAGGCCGAAAAACATTATTACACGTTAGTAAAGTTCAACTTCTGGTAATAACAGTAACAATTTATTTAACCTGCAGGCCTAGGGGAGGACCCTGAAAGGGCAGGGCTCTTGAAGACGCCCGAACGTGCCGCCAAAGCTATGCTTTTCTTCACGAAAGGATACGATCAAAGTTTGGAAGGTACGTGGAAACATTGAAGTATTTAACTTATGGTGAACACGACCATTCTGTCGTTAACCCTAAAAAACTATAATCATTTTTGCTTTTTCCTAACTCATCGCTTTTAGCATAAGGGGCTATTCCGGCAATTCACTAGTAGGTGACTAGGACTAGTAGGTGAGCTCACGGGCTTAACCTGAGAGAATTTGCTAACACTAGCCCTAACAAGAGCAGTGCTTGGCTGAATCTACCACCGGATCGGAATCGCGACCGACTGAGAAGATACGGCGAGTAACTCAGTGGGTTGTCTAAGGGCCGGTTTGCTCGTCGAACTCTTCGTCACAATCGACGGCCCGGTGTCCGGTGTTGGAAGAGCCCAAAATCACCTGCAATCGTTAACTACCTCTGGCTTAGAACTGTTTTGCAGGAGTTTTTTGTTTGGATTAAAGTTCTGATACTAGTGCTCATATTGCAGAGGTTCTAAACAACGCTATCTTCGATGAAGACACGGACGAGATGGTGGTCGTTAAGGATATCGAGATGTTTTCAATGTGCGAACACCATTTGGTGCCGTTTTACGGAAAGGTCTCCATCGGGTACCTGCCACAAGGAAAAATTTTGGGTCTCAGCAAACTGGCCAGGTGAGAACTGCTTTATATGCAACCGCTGTTTTTTTTTATTGCTTAGATGGGTGGATGAGCTCACAGCCCAACAGGTGTTAAGTGGTCTGAGATCTCAAGTGTAGTTACAACGGCTGCCCCACCCTTCAAACCGAAACGCATTACTGCTTCACGGCAGAAATAGGCAAGGCGGTGGTAGCTACCCGCACGAACTCACACGCGGGTCCTACCACCAGTAATTACGCAAATCATACGAGTAATTTTGCGGGTTTCATTTTTATTACACGATGTTATTCCTTCACCGTGGAAGTCGATCGTGAACATTTGTTGAGTACGTATTTCATTAGAAAAATTGGTACCCGCCTGAGTTTCGAATACGGGTGTATCACTCAACACGAATGCACCGGACGTCTTAGCCTTCAGGCCACGACGACTTTGTCATCCGATGTTAAGTGAGAGAACCCGTCGACATCACAGGACCGCACTCATCTTAAGATGAAACCTTAATGTAAAAAATAGCGGCTGCCATTACTAATGCTCGAAGGTCAGAGGCGACAACTTCTCATCGGATGAGCCGTAAGCTCGTTACATAACCAATGCGCACTCAAAACAATGCATTACTATGCAAACTAGAATCACTAAATGAATACTATCCACGGCCTTAGACGATCAATATTAAATTAATAATAATCATAATATATTGATACTAGCTGTCCCGGCAAACATTGTTTTGCCATATATAAGATTTCTAGGGAATTTCTAGTGTAGAAAAAAAAACTAACTTATTGTAAGTGTGGATGTGGTAAATGAGTGAAAGAGGCATGTAGCGCTGTGAACGTTGAGGGAATATATAATAAAAATAACAAAACCTCATTCAACCACATAATACCTCATTATAACAAAAAAAAATATGTTAGGGGTGGACAACCCTAATCACTTAGGGGTATGAAAAATAGATAGTAGCCGATTCTCAGGCTTACTGAATATGCATAAAAAATTTCATGAGAATCGGTCAAGCGGTTTCGGAGGAGTGTGGGAACGAACATTGTGACACGAGAATTTTATATATTAGTCACAAAATTATTGTATCATCATCGGTCCTTGATGCGTGTGGAAATCTTCAAGTGGATCGGACGTCTTTAAATCGGTGTTAATGACATTCAAAGATTATGTTACACACAAACAAACATACATATCAAGCTAATAAAAGCGTGTTGAGCATTTGGAAATCTTTATACGTCCGTCCCAGACAAGCCATCTTAGTCAAGCGGCTGGATCTCTGGCTAAGACGCGATACATGCAATGCGAACAAACATAATGCGTAAAAACACAACGCGTTTTTTTTCCCTACCATAAGCTGATAGCATTGAGAGGCTATTTCAGCGTAACCTTAACTAGCAGTTGAGCTCACGGGGCTCAAACCTGACGACGTTGCTAACACGAACCCTAGCAAGAGCCGGATCGGAAACGCGACCCACTGAGAAGGTCCGGTGAGAAACTCAGTGGGCTGTGGGTTAATTTACTCGCCGAGCCCTCGAGAACGATGACCGGCACAACGCGTACTAAAACAACACGTGCAAACACAACGCGCACGAACACAACATGTGCAAACACAACGCAAACGTTTTGAGTAGGTTGAAAAAAGATAATATGTATTTTACATTCATAATATCGTAATAACCCAATCGTATTGAAGTGTATAAACATTGTATTCGCATCGAAAACACTTGTGCAAAACAGACACGGATCTCTTTGTTAATTAATTTGTTTGAATTCACGACATTTATTATAATTGAACGACGAATCTTTATGAATTAATTGGGTAATCTTTTTTTTTCCTACCTATGCTGATAGCCTTAAGAGGCTATTTCAGCTTCACCCTAACGTGTAGGTGAGCACACGGGGCTCAAACCGGAGTGTTGCTAACACTGGCCCTAGCAAGAGCAGTGCTTCGCAGAATCTACCACCGGATCGGAAACGCGACCCACTGAGAAGATCCGGCGAGAAACTCAGTAGACTGTGTCTATGGGTTAATTCGCTCGTCGAGCCCTTAATAATTTAATAATAATAATCGCTCGTAATAATTTAACACCAAGTGGGCTGTGAGCTAAGAGAAGGTAAAACCAATCTATCAAAAAAAAAAAAAGAAATCAAAATTGTTTTACAACTTCAACTCTATCAAACAAAATATTGTTGGAATCGATAATTCTACATACAAAACCATTTATATTCGAATTCTGGCAAAATTATTTAATTTAACGAAATTTTACGGTCACGTTTTTTTTTTTTTTGTTATTTTAACGTCGTAATTTTTCATAAAAAATAAACACAACTGAAATAATATTAGCACGTGAAAGAACGGGAAACTTGTGCAAATATACCATATATAATACAATTACACACTATTTGGAGAGAGAGAGAGAGAGAGAGGGAGAGAGAGAGAGAGAGAGAGAGAGAGAGAGAGAGAGAGAGAGAGAGAGAAAGAGAGAGAGAAAGAGAGAGGGTAGAGCTTATTACAGACCAAAACCTGTTAAATTTTCACACTGCTGTCGAAAGGCACTATGATTTGGCGAATGCGTTGCGTCAAGGAGCGTTGGACATGAAAAGAGCGCGACGTTAAGTACGCGGCGCTAAGTACGCGTTCTGTTTGACGAAGGCTTTCATGTCACACAAATTGACTAGATGAGTCCAACACTCCTTGACGCAACGCATTCGCCAAATCATAGTGCCTTTCGATAGCAGTGTAAAAATTTAAAAGTATTAAGAAATCGAGTGATTCAGATGTGGCATTGTATAAGCATCGGTATTTTCTAACTATTTATATCATTTTTTCGGGCATTATCTAGTATTTTAATACACATTCACTCGGACGCTAAAATAAAATTTGTAAAAAATTACAACGCCTGACGTCAAAGCGTCCTAACGCCGCGACAGAGCGCTGCGTACTTATAGTGCTGCGACTCTGTTTGACGGTATGTTACCATAGTAGTACAACACATCTCGGCGTCATAGCGCGGCGTTAGTATAGCGCTCTGACGCGCGCTAATTACGCGTTCTGTTTGACGAAGGCTTAAAACAGTCGAACTCGTTGACTCCGACGAAGGGTTCGACGTGAGAAATACCCCATAGACACAACCCACTGAGTTTCTCACCGGATCTTCTCAGTGGGTCGCGATTCCAAACCGGTAATAGATTCAGCGAAGCGCTGCCCTTGCTAGGACTAGTGTTAGCAATTCTGTCAGGTTGAGCCCGTGAGCGCGTGAAGTTGGAAGAGCCCCTTGACTACCAAAAAAAAAAATTGAAACAAAAGTCTACACGCGGATGTAATTAATTTGTACTGGCTATGTTATCGCTAAAAGCGATCTCGAAATTCAGGAAGAGATTTATACATAAAAATGTAATAATAACCAAAATCAGTGTATTTTTTTTTTGTATTTTTGGAGTTTACTCCTTTAGAATCGATTTACATATATAGGCCCGGGGTATGAAAATTATGGGGACCAAAATCGTACTAGCATGTCACACGAAATGCGTTATGCGCCTGATTGGCTCCTGATTGCGTGATGCGTGCGCGCGCCAATCAGGAGCCAACGCGCGGCCGCGTTATCGCAGGTGACGCCGGGCTGCTGCGCCGGCAGTCCGCCACAAAGCCTCGTACTGATCGCGCGTTTCTCTTATTTTTTTTGGAGTTTACTCCTTTAGAATCGATTTACATATATAGGCCCGGGGTATGAAAATTATGGGGACCAAAATCGTACTAGCATGTCACACGAAATGCGTTATGCGCCTGATTGGCTCCTGATTGCGTGATGCGTGCGCGCGCCAATCAGGAGCCAACGCGCGGCCGCGTTATCGCAGGTGACGCCGGGCTGCTGCGCCGGCAGTCCGCCACAAAGCCTCGTACTGATCGCGCGTTTCTCTCATTATTGTATTTTCATATTATTATATTTGTTAGTCGTTTGTTTTGTGTCTCGTTAATTTGTTAATAATCTGTAGTGTATCGTGTTGTCGTAATATAGAACTATTTCTCGTATTGTTTCGTTTAATTTTTTATATCCAGTAAACTCCAGTCGTGCGTCGGAGCGGACACACACACTTTTTTTTTTCTCTTTAAAGTCAACAAACGGAATCAGTTTAAGATATAAGAATACTGTATTTAAACACAGTTTTATTTTTGTTGTCTATAATATTTCTATCCTAATATTATAAAGAGGAAAGATTTGTTTGTTTGTTTGTATTGAATAAGCTGCGAAACACCTGAACCGATTTGAAAAATTCTTTCACTGTTTGGAAGCTACACTACTCCCGAGTGGCATAGGTTATAATCTTTTTTTAAAAAAAATTAGGGATTCTTATTGAAACTCCAATAATGTAACACAAGGTGTAAAAAAATTACCTAAAATATTCTTTACATCGCGTGCCTCGCGAAAACTATTGACGATAGAATAAAATAATATACTACGACTTTGTAGAACACGTTATTATTTACAAACAGTGTCGCGACAGCATATGTCTAACTATTATAGTTATGCCGCAATAAGTGTTCTTTTATTTAAAAAAATAAAACAACGTCAATTATCAATGAAATTTTTGTTAAAGACCCGAGCCGAGCCGGAGCGGGCCGCTAGTTAATAATAAATTTGAATTGAACAGAGTTATTTACTTATTTACACTTATTATCTATTTCGGCTATTCGCTATATCGCCTTTTAACTTATTTACAGGATCGTGGAGATATTCTCCCGCCGTCTCCAAGTACAAGAACGTCTGACGAAGCAGATAGCCATCGCGGTGACACAGGCCGTACGCCCGGCCGGCGTGGCGGTCGTCATTGAAGGGGTGTAAGTATTTTAAATCGGATTTTCTGAATTCTTATCGATCTAGCTCGCTATACAAGTGTAAAAAACATTGAGAAGGCGGCACGGCATGAGAACCCTCTTGTCCTGGCCGCTGGAAATTACATACCCGAACTTATAGGCCGAATGGCAAATAGTCTACGTCGCCCAAAACACGTCATTACGGTCATTACGGATCCTCCCGACCCATTAACGGTGCTTTTAGATTTACCTCAATCACCAGTCACGGTTCTCGTCGAAGCCGTCGCTTGCGACGAAGATATCGGCGAGTAAACTAGCCCAAAGACACAGTCCACTGAGTTTCTCATCGGATCTTCTCAGTGGGTCGCGTTTCCAATCCGGTGGTAGATTCAGCGAAGCACTGCTCTTGCTAGGGCTAGTGTTAGCAACGCCCTCAGGTTAGAGTCCCGAGAGCTCATCTACTCGCTCGGTTACGCTGCCATAGCCTCTTAAGGCCACCAGATCAGGGAAGAAAAAAAACTAACTCGTTTTGTCCTTTCCCTCTCTCCGCGCGGTCGAGTGGTTCGCGAAACGCTCTGTCGATTTTCTCACTCTCGCTTTTCCTAAATTATATCTTTTCTCTTTAGCCGTAACGAATCTGTTGCGAGTTAAGTTTTTTCAACGCGGCGAAAGAAAAGTAGGCATTTGACAATATGATGTATATTATGCTCTACCGTATTTCCTGTGTCTTACGCCGAACATATTTGCTATAAGAGAGAAAGAGTAGGAAAGTGTAACATCTCCTATTTCAAGATTCAGCTTCAGATTCAGATTCAGCCACGTACCATCCGGCTTTGAAATGAACTCCCCTCCACAGCGTTCCCTCAAACAAGGCTTGTGGAGAGTACTCAATGGTAGGTACCGGCTTAGCTCTACCTCTGGCATTTATGACGTCCATTGTCGACGTTAACCACTCACCAAATGGCCGTATTCACGACTACCCACAATAGGCAATAAATTAGCCTGCGCGGATCAGTACCGCCATCCCACCTGACTCCAGTCTTAAGAGTGACAATGCTCTTGAGACTCTATTAACCGATTCACGTCTACATTCCAGTCACATGTGCATGGTGATGCGAGGAGTCCAGAAGATCAACAGTAAGACGGTGACGTCGACGATGCTGGGCGTCTTCCGCGACGACCCGAAGACCCGGGAGGAGTTCCTCAACCTCGTCCACTCTAAGTGAGGACGGCTTTTGACGTTGGACGGGCGCTCGTAACGTTATTCCCATGATTTTAGTCATATTTGATTAGATTTTCAAAGAGGTTAATTGCCGCGAATTGAAAAGTGCCCGATACATTTTTCGGGTTGCTTCAGAACTAAGATATCCTGATATTGCGTTCTATTAGAAACAAGTATAACACATCGGCATTAACCCTTTTTTGTATATTTGTTTCTTTCTTTTTCCATTTAACCCTCTCTTTCTTATTTTAGCAGTGCATCTCTCTCTAATATTAATTTTAAATCAAACACACACGAGAATCAATTCGTTACGAGCGTCAGTCATTAAGCGGAATGTGTTATTATTTATGCTAAGATAGCTTTTAATGTAATTTTCGATTGTTTTATTTTTAATTTTGTCTTCCGTTCATCGACAAGAGATTTCATTCACAATCCTATCACCTACACAAAATGTTAAGGCGGCTTCGAACTAAAAAAGTATTACTCGTGAGTTGATAACTAGATTTATTAAGCTCACAAAGGACAATACTATAATATTTGTTATACTATAATATACTATAATATTTCGTATAACCAGAGTTTAGTGTTGCGAAGATCCCGGAGATTTCGTTAACATTCCCGGCGTCCCATCGACTTCATGAACACGATTATCGTATATTTAAACAGTCGTTTTCGTTATCCCCGACGCTCAATACACTATGTCAGGGGCTCCCAAACTTATTTTGTTTACTACCCACTTTAAGAATAAATTATTTTTTTAACCTCCCCATTTTTTCATTTATTTAAAAATCACTACAGCGAAAGCTCAGTCGATGTCTAAGACTCCTCTTAGATGAAATTACAAATCACCTCCCAAGTCTCTACACAACGCCCCCGTTTGTTTTCTGTGTCTCTTACCGCCCTCTTTAGGCCTGCTGTGCCCACAAGGGGGCGTTATCGCACACTTTGGGAAAGGCTGCACTATGTTCGAGGTCTCCTCTGTAATGACGTCACACGGCTAAATGGGAAGACGGTGGACAAAAATGAGCCAAGATTAAAAACGCAGTAGGATCCGCTGATATGGCTCGGCGAGTTATGACGTCACGTGCGTCACTACACAGACAGCTTGTTCGCCTACATACAGTATTGTAGAATCACTCAAATATATCCACTGCTTACATTGAAACCTAAGGTTATTTTGTATTCGGATATAAAATATACTGCAACCGACTCATGCCTCGAAGTGAACTGATGTTTTGCATTATTGCCCCTTAACATCAGTTCTAATAAAACATAAGAAAACAGTTGATTAAAAAAAAAATGAAAAGTTTAAAAAAAATTAAAAAAATGTTTTACCCCACTTAGCCGTGACACGTCAACCGTTAAGAATACTTTCGTTATATTCCATTTTAAAGTTGTTGTTCGTGTTAATTTAGCGCTGTCTTAAAAGCTCTAGCGTCTCATTTCTAAGCTCGCCGTTCGTTTACTTTATTAAGCTTTCTGTTATCGTAACTTTTATTGTTGTGTGTACAGTTCTTTATGTGACAATAATAATTTTTATTGAATTTTAATTAATTAGTTTACGTTATCATTTAATGTTGTTCAATTTCCAATTAATTTTATTTATTAGTAGCGATCTTCTTATTGTTTATCAAAATTAAATGTAATAATGTTTTTTTATTTACAACATTCCATTCACATGGAAATTAAGGTGGTTTCCAATTGCCCAAAATCACTTTATTTTCTATGTTGTTATATTTTTTTTTAAACTGTCACCTACGTAATTCAGAAGCGAATCGAAATATTTTTATTTGAATTCTACATTCTTTTAAAAAGAAAAAATCTCAAGCATTCAATGGCTGATGTTTGACATTTTTTTATTATTATTATTATTATTTTTATTTTTATAACGAAAATTTTTAAAAATATTTTAATAAAATAAATGTTTCAAATAAAAATTTTATATATATACACGTTTAATAAAACATACGTTGCCTTAATTGTATGATGTAATGTTTTTTATCGATTTTTTGATATGTTTTGAAACAAAAAAAAATATTTTTTGATACATAAATAAAGTTTATTATTTTAAGTTGAACATTGAGTTTTCGTTTTCTACACCACTGACCGCGTATTGATTTAGTCGAATAAATATTTTTTTTGGGTGGCTGGTCGATATCGACCTTCAGACGTGTGACGTCACAGACTTATTTGCATAATACAAAACCATATAACATAAAAGCGATTTACATTATCGTATGCAAAGTCTACCGGTATTATAAACAAAACTGTGTTCCCATCTCTTTCTTCCGTTTCCGATTTCTTCCAGGAGACGGATATTTACATATTTATTCGTGCTCCCGGAAAATAAAATCACGGATTTTTTATTACGGAATATAGCCCACTGAGTTTCTTGCTTATTCCCGTGACCTTCAACAGAAAGGAAAGCAGTCGACGTCGCCCCAAACACGTCATTTCGGATCCTCCCGATCCACTAACGGTGCTTTTAGGTACCTCAAGCACCGGTCATCGTTCTCGTCGAACCCGTCGCTTACGACGAAGGGCTCGACGAGTACATTAACTCTCAGACACAGCCCACTGAGTGTCTCGCCGGATCTTCTCAGTGAGTCGCGTTCCCAATCCGGTGCTAGATTCTGCGAAGCATAGCTCTTACTGGGGCCAATGTTAGCATCGCCTCCTGGTTTGAGCCCCCAGCTCACTTACACGTTAGGATTACGCTAACATAGCCTCTCAAAGCTATCAGCTTAGGTAGTAAAAAAAACGGAACTCTTATTTTTCTTATTGAGATGATCCCATTACCTAAATCTCGCAAAATCCATTCTAAAAAGAACCCGTTGCGCTCATCTCATTTACGTGGCATTTACGTGGTTAACGTTCATGGGCTGCAGTGACCATTTAACACCGGTCGGTCGTATGCTCGTCCACACACACACACACACACACACACACACACACACACACACACACACACACACACACACACACACACACACACATACACACACGCGCGCGCGCGCGCGCCCACACGCACACACACATACGCATACACGCACACACACTATACTCCGGACAAGTAATTATTATTAGGTAGTGTTTTTTTTTTTGAAACTTATCTAATCTATCTACCAGTAGCTTCAAGAAACTATATTGGCTTTACCCTGGGTGAGGTTGTATGGCAGATGACTGTAAAATAATTGTATTATTATGTGAATTACTAGTCTCTTGTCAATTTTCAGATTTTCTTATTTATTTATAGTGACCTTTTAGGTAGTCGAGTACAGTCACGGACGAGCTCACAGCCCACCTGGTGCTAAGTTACTGGAGCTCATAGACATCTACAACGTAAATGCGTCACCCACCTTGATATATAAGTTCTAAAGTTCTCAGTATACTTACAGCAGCTGCCCCACCCTTCAAACCGAAACGCATTACTGCTTCACGGCAGAAATAGGCAGGGCGGTGGACCTACCACCAGTAATTACGCAAATTATAATTTTGCGGGTTCGATTTTTATTACACGATGTCAATCCTTCACCGTGGAAGTCAATTGTGAGCATTTGTTAAGTACGTATTTCTTTGGAAAAATTGGTACCCGCCTGCGGGATTCGAACACCGTTGCATACATACGAATGCACCGGACGTCTTATCCTTTAGGCCACAACGAATTCTTGAGGCCACGACGACCAATATCTAATCTAATAGTAAAGTAGTAATTTTCTTGGTGTTACAAGAAATGGCTATTTCTCACGTCCACGAGCCGTATTGGAATCGCGGCCCACTGAGAAGATACGGCGAGAAACTCAGTGGATTGAGCACAGTCGAGCCACTGCCTACGTCTCACATGTATCTATGAAGCGCGCACGGTGGATGAGCATCGCCCGTCACCTCACCGACTGAAGTCTCAATAATTATTAATATTCATTTAACTCTCGCAATACCGGTCTCAAGCCCCTATGAGAAATGAATAGTGTTGTGTTGTATTTCAACCTTTCCACCGTAAAACAGTCAACGCCGAATATCAGGCGGCGGTTAATTAGTCGGACCCGAATAAGGCTTCAGCAGCCTCGAAGAACTAAAACTCTGTTTCAAAAGGACTGCCGTGGAAGCACGCGGGACTCTCATGAGAACACGGCCCTCAACATTGAGGATTATTGACGCGAGAAGAAAGAACGCGAGGTTATTTAGAAAATGACAAAATTTTAACACGTTGAAAACGTTTAAAAAGCCACTCATACGCTACTGTTTAATTATGGTTATTCAATAATGGTTCTTTGTGAGGCCTATCAATGGTGGTGAGACTTCATGTGAGTCCGCGCGGTTAGGTAACACTCCCCTGCCTATACCTGCCGTGAAGCAGTAATGCGTTTCCGTTTGAAGGACGGGGCAGCCGTTGTAACTATACTATAGACCTTAGAAATTATATCTCAAGGTGGACGGCGGCATTTACGTTGTAGATGTTTATCGGCTCCAGTAACCACTTAACACCAGATGGGCTGTGAGCTCGTCCACCCACCTAAGCAATAAATAAATATATATCAGATATGTAACTGTAAAGAATTCTTGCCTCGAAAAAACCCTTATACGCTTAGCTGAAAGTCCCTCAACAATGGTCCAGCATTCTTCGTGCTAAGGTCTCTTGACCCATTGATGTCAGAAAACAGTCCTAGATAAGGGACTGTTTTGAAAAAATCCGTAGAAAGCTCATAGGATTACGATCCACTAATTGTGCTTTTAGGTACCCCAAGCACCGGTCATCGTTCTCGTCGAACCCGTCGCTTGCAATGAAGGGCTCGGCGAGTAAATTAACTCACAGACACTGAGTTTCTCGTCGGATCTTCTCAGTGGGTCGCGTTTCCGATCCGGTAGTAGATTCCGCGAAACACGGCTCTTACTAGGGTTCATGTTAGGAACATCTTCAGGTTTGAGCCCCGTGAGCTCACGTAGTAGTTAAGGTTACGCTGACGTGGTCTCTCTAGACTATCAGCATAGGTAGGAGAAAAAAATAATAAAGGACTTTATCGTTTCCAAAGAAAAAACTTTTTTTTTTATTGCTTAGATGGGGAGACGAGCTCACAGCCCACCTGGTGTTAAGTGGTAACTGGAGCCCATAGACATCTACAACGTAAATGCGCCACCCACCTTGAGATATAAGTTGTAAGGTCTCAGTATAGTTACAACGGCTGGCTCACCCTTCAAACCGAAACGCATTACTGCTAAAATTGGTACCCGCCTGCGGGATTCGAACACCGGTGCATCGCTTCAACACGAACGCACCGGACGTCTTATCTTTTAGGCCACGACGACTTCAAAAACTCACAAAACATATTTATTTAGTTTAAACAAAAACATCAACGATATTATGTCCGGAGTTCATCTAGAGCCTTCATAAATTATCTCACTATTAAGAGAATGTCGCAGTCAAAGATATAAATAGCTTCGGTATTTCACGCAAACAAGAAATGTTTCCTCTATATAAACGTAAGTCACAGACGGGCAGTCTTGAGGTATAAATTAATTTCAACAAATATAATAATATT